GAGCTGACTGTATGCGTGTTGGTTTAGTTTTTACAGAAACCGTGGGACATGCAGTGTGTAGTGTTTGTGGGCACTGGGTTGTGGGCACATTCACTACATTTAATGCACAATCGACATGAGTCGATTTTATTTGTGCGAGCCCTGTACTGTGGTGGGCTGTGCTTGTGTGTAGAAATGAACACTGGGTCGTGGGAATTTTTATTACACTCATAACACCATCGGCCGTGGCCGGAATACCAGAAATTACATTCTTTATGTGATTTATCTGGGTCTGAAAACGGCATTTGTGTGCAGGCAAGCGGGCCGTGGTACCGGCTTGTTTACTGCAAAATACACTGGAACAGTCGCATTTTCTGGAACTGAACGAGCGAAAAGTTTCGGTGGAAGTCTGGCCGCGGCGAGACCTAAACACCGTTGTTTTCCTAGGAGGGCTAGGAAGACTTTGAGGCCTCGGGCTTTATCTCAATCTTTTGCCGGGGCCCACGCGGAGGGGGGCGGCGGCCGGCAGAGCGAGAGCGTGGTCTTTGGTCCCGGGATTGACGGTGCTGTGAAGCGGCGGCTGTGACTGGGAGCTTCGAGCAGACGGCTGTTTTGGGCGACCTGCTGCGAAGCCAGAACGCTTTGGAAAGAAGTGCTTCATAGCCTGTGACGTCTTCTGAACCTTTGACGGGTGATCCAAAGAGGCCAGCTGGGGAGATGGGCACGTCGAGGAACGCGGAGCGCTCCGAGTCCGGCATCTCAGATAACGTCAGCCATAGGTGTCTCTCAGCAACGGTGAGAGAAGCCATGTTCCGCCCAATGGCCTGTGCAGCGGATTTCGCGGCGCGAAGAGCAAGGTCCGTAGCGCTCCTCAAATCCGGCACGCTGATAGCTTCCGGTCCTTCCTCATCCAGTTTGCGGAGAAGGTCGGCTTGGAAGATCTGCAGTATGGCCATCGAGTGTAATGCCGATACAGCCTTCCCAGCGGCGGTATAAGCGCGGCTGTGCATAGCGGAAGTAGTGCGGCAAGTTTTAGAAGGTAGCGCCATCTTAGCTCGCCGTCCAGCAGAGGGCGGGCAAAGATGGGCCGCTACAGCTTCTTCTACTGGAGGAAGAGAGTGGTATCCTCTGTCTTTAGCACTGTCCACCACGGAGAATGCTGCTGAGACAGAGGTACGCATTCTGGCTGAGAAGGGGGCGTTCCAAGACTTTGTGACTTCTTCATGAAGTTCAGGAAGAAAAGGCGTGGGCCTAGAAGGCGGAGAAGCGCGGTCCCTTTGCAGGAAACATCCATCCAGTCGGTTGTGCGCGGGCTGTGAGAGCAGACGCATCAGCTGTGATTCGATGCTGGCCCGTTTCCCAGACGACTCGCGGGCAGAGGGGGGGAGCTCGCCCAATCCTCACTGTCCGACGCCAGGATAGAGCAGCTGGCCTCCTTTACAGATGCAGCTATCTCGTCATCAGCAATGGCGGAAGCGGCGGCGGAAGGCGGCCGATGTCCGTCGGTGAGCGACTCGAGTGAAGCTGGCGGGCGAACCGGCGAGCTTTCACGGGCTAGAAAAGGCTCGGGGAACCGCTGAGTATGACGCTTTTTACGGCGCGGCACTATAGCGGGCGGAAGTGCAGACTCTGAGAAAAATGCCAGGCGAGTCCTCAGAGTCACCATGGGCAATAGCTCGCAATGATGGCAGCCGCCGTCAGCGAGCGCGAGAGCTGCATGATCCTTACCCAGGCAGGAAACACAGATGACATGGCGGTCCTCATCGCTGAGTGCGGCTCGAGAGAGTGCTCGAGATAGAGAGAGTGTGAGTCGCAGCGGCGAACACACACTCGGCAGAGTAAAAGGATTTAAACGCCGGAAAGCGTAGCAGGTACGGCGACTGAAGGCGGCGAGATGAAGGCCAGTGGCTTCAGATGCAAAGGCTCGTCCCGCAGACGTCACCAAGGGCCTCTCTCCATAGGCTGCTGCAGTTGCCGCAGGACAGCCAATAGGCACGAGAGCCTGTCTGCATGCTGCCGCAACGCGTTTTACATTATTTCAAAATTAAGGATAATTTTTGGCTTCAATATCTCGTGGAAAAGAGGTTTTCCCCTAGCGTAAGATATTACGCAGTACGAGAGAACCTCTCGTAAGAGAACCAGGTTGCTGCTGGAAGAGGTGTTAGTGAGGCCAGTAGGGGGTACGGCTCACCCTGTGGTCTGTGTGGGTCCTAACGCCCATCATGGCCTCCTAATCATCCCCATATACTGATTGGCTTCATCACTGGCTCCTCTCCACCAGTAAGCTGGTGTGTGGTGGGCGTTCTGGTGCAATATGGCTGCCGTCGCATCATCCAGGTGGATGCTGCACATTGGTGGTGGTTGAGGAGATTCCCCCTTCCATGTAAAGCGCTTTGAGTACCCCGAAAAGTGTCACAGGGTGACTAGAGGCAAGCGGAACCTTTCTTCTTTTGGGAGGTGTTTCCCCGCCAGAGTAGTTCCGGTGCGACATCCGGCCAGTTCCGGTTGTCGTATGAGCCATGATCAAACGGGGATTAGACGAGGAAAGGCATCGGGAAGAGAAGAAGCGGGGCAGATACGGATTTTCTCAGGCTATTGACTGGAGGTAAAACTGATTCTGTAAAGGAGGATTCTTGGAGAACGAAGAATGGATGTGCACATGCTATCTTTGGAACAAGTTAAGTACCACGCTACCTTCTATATTGATCCTCAAAACTCTTATTTCCCATACGGATGTGATGGTCGGAAAGATAGCACATGCTATCTTTGGAACAAGTTAAGTACCACGCTACCTTCTATATTGATCCTCAAAACTCTTTGTTCCCATACGGATGTGATGGTCGGATGATTACTGGTTGGGAACTAAACACTTTGATGTCCTGGTTTTTAAGGCCCATATGTTTGTTGTTATCCATCTCTCGCGCTGTCTTTGAGCTATAATCTCCTCGAAGTTGAAGATCCGGTTCCCGTGTTTATGCACTAGTCTGATGATTGTTTGCTTCAAACTACCAGTATGATGTTCTGATCTCTCAAAATCAGTCATGCCTGTCGTTGTCCACCCTTCATGTCGTCTTTGAGTCCAAATAGCTCAAGGACGAGGATTCAGCCCCCGCACCTGTCCCCGAGTTATAGTCACACCGAAGACGAGGAACCCGGTCGGAGCTACGAGCAAAGGTCCTAGTTCACTGTGAGTGTGTGGATTGCAGTGCTTATGGTGGATATTTGCACATGTGAAGTGTTTGAAGTGCTTTGCTGAATACACGAGTGTGGGGAGTAAAGTATTGCCTTTGTTTGTGCCTTTGACCTGCTGGATCGCCTAAACTCGAGGGGCGTTGGGTCTTACTAACCAGTGTTTGTTGAGTGTGTCTTATATAGCGACGTGAGTTATTCATCTCCCGCTGCCTTGACCTGCCTGGAAGAGGAGCCGTCACCTGTAAACTCACCGATGTTCGACCTGGAGCCGATTCTTCCTGTCCTGGCCTGTCTTGAAGAGGAGCCATTACCCGTGTACTTACCATTGTCCGGCCTGGAGTTGATCCGTTAAGGACGGGAGTCATTCGTCCCTTGATGTTCTGATCTGGCTTGAAGAGGACCAGTTATCTGCTTATTCGCCACTGTACAGTTCGAAGAGGAACCCCCAACCACGTACTTACCTCAGTTGTGTACGCCTCGATCGAAGAGCGTAAAGACCAAGATTCTGAGAAAGGGAAGAAGCCGATTGAGCGATACTTTATTTTAAGAAGTACTTTTAATTCAATAAAGAAAAACTTTGTACCTGTTATCTGATTGTCTGGTCTGGTGGTGTTCTCTGTTAGCTCCTCGAGGTGGTACGGGTTACAGGGGCGGTGCGTACAGGGCCGGTCACCCACCCCGGTCTGTGACAGAAGCGCTATATAAATGTAACAAATTATTATTATAGGTCCAGCTTTAATAATTAAATTTGAGTACAGTTGATATTTGTTATTTTCAAGGTAATAAACCAATAAACATTGAGATCATGCTCTCCAAACAAATTTCTTTTCAGGTAAAGTGGGCCGCAGCTGGTCTGGTGACTTATCCCTAATTCAAGAGGAACATTTAAAATGGTAACCGTATTATAAAACTTCACTTAAATTGTTTTGAGAAAACTGACAGAAAAAGAACTTAAATAGTGTCCATTTTTTAAAGTGTTATATTCTGCATCTACATTTTTCTCCTGTCATACTTTCTTCACTCCACAGATTGTTCTTAATTCCTTATCTTAATTTCTGCTCTTTCTTTCTTCCATCTGACTCGAATTTCCTAACGGCACACTCGTTTGCTCTCTAAAAACGTAGATTATACAGGTCAACTATAAAATCACCAGTGAATGTCAATTTAATTAGACTGTAATTACTGAAGGATGTAAGGTCACCCCCTTTACCCAAACCCCACTTTATCTAACCCATTCAGCCAAAGTGGGCCAGCAATATTTAAGCACCTTACAAGAAAACACATTTTTAAAACATTTTATTCTTTGCATTTGCTTCAGTGTTACTGTTGTAACAGACACAATATTGGTTTACATTTAGTGAGAAACCTTAGAATTTAGAAAATAAAATCTCATGTCAGATGGTTTTCTACCTTTAACCATTAGATTATCCTCCCTTGAGGTGTGGCCACACCCACCAGTGTCATATTGCATCAACCAAAGCTCTTTTATCATTTAGAGAAATAGTGTATCTTTAATTAAGACCATTGTCATGCTCTGAAAGTGTAAACCCATTGAGCACAATACAATCAAACGGTCCACTTTACCTGCATTCACCCAACATTTATTTTTAAGAGTGGAGCAGTTTACTATTGGAAGCTTTGGCCAAAACGTCTTTGAAAAGACTAAAACAAAAACATGAATTGCTGGATGCCAGGAAACCATTCAAAAGCATTGGAAGTGTTTGTAATGGCAATAAATCTAGGGATATAATTTCAGGGTATTAAGTATCACTTTAATGTAGGACATAGGCAAAGAATACACAAGGAAAATCATGATTATCCCATTTGAATCTGCTTTTCCATCATATCCAACTCTCAGTAACCTCCTCCACAGCTTTTCCTGGGGAGCAGTTCAGTCTTCTGCCACAGACTTGGAGAAGTAATACCAATCACACCATAAGCAATTATCTGTCCAGAATTCCCACTCTGTTGACTCTCCTCATCTGACCCCATTCCCAGATCATCCTCCTTCTCATGAACCACCACCGCACGTCCCAGAATGGAATGTGCCCCGAAGAGCTTGGCCTCTGGGAGATTCAGGAACTGCCTTATAACTCCTCGCTCAGAAGCAAAGTTGCCCAAGTCTCCAGGATGATGAGGGTGGTCAACACCCTTTGGATTGTAATGAGGACCAACAGTGATGCTGCCTTGACTGAGGTCTCCATACCGATGGATGTCAATGGCACGCTCTTGATGATCGATGGCAGGCAAACCACGGAGGTTGATTTTCACTTCTAAAACTCCATTGGGGAAGAGCTGCTTGAAGAGGATTTGCCCAAAGATCTTTGGCTGGAAAGGTGGCAAATTGGGGCTGGGAGTTACTTCACAAGTGGCATAGATTGTATTGTTGAACTCCACGACTTCCGGCTGTGGAGCTTCGGCAATGGATGAACAAACTGGAATTTTAGCGAACTCTCCTCCTTGTATATGCAGCACCAGCAATATCAGAGGGATTTGTAGGATGATTTTCTCCATGTTGATCTTTAAAGCCTACAATGAAGAGTGGATTTAGTGAAATCATGCTGTTTAAGAACATGTATTTTTGATAGAATACAGTTGAAAGCTTTGTTCCAGGGAGCTTTGAGAGTAGAAGTTGCATTAGGTAACATAGCACAACCAGATTAGTTTGCAAGGGAAATAATCATATACAAGCAATTGTATTTTTTTTTTTAAATTGTCATGTACCCTTGTGAAAAAGTGAACTTATTTGAATTGAATGTGTACTTAAAATCTTGTAACTATAATGCAAAAATAAAATAAAACTGTAGGTCTGCTTGCAGATAATAGAACACTGATGAATTATAACAAACCACTTAAGTGTACATACCATACCTTATATTAGTGCCTATGATGGCCACCAGAGGGCTTATACATTAACAAGCCAATGACACACAGATGGATGTAAATCACACTATAATGAGTCCAGGCAAAGGTTTATGGAAAAGGACTAGGGAGGAAAGCTCTCCTGCATGACTGCTGATTTAAAACTTTTAAAAAGTGAACTTTAAAGTAATACTTTTAGTTTGACATTATTGCAAAGTACATTATTAAAACAATCTTTTTGTTGTGGTTTAAAGAAGTAGGCTCATTTTAATTTGTTGACTAACATAGTACATCATTATAATTTGATCTGTCATATGTTATTCAATATTAAATAAAAGTTAATATATATATATATCTTTAAATTGCAACTTCATTACAAATGTTTAATTGCAAAGACGATACAAGTAATTATGAAATTACATATAAAGATGTGCTTGGGTCAAACTAATGACTGTTTCAGCTAACTGCATTTAATATACATGTCAACTAGAATACATTTTCATTTAATTGCATAAACAGGCAATCAAGTCTGAAAACGTTACATTCTTGCACTTATGTATATTTTAAAGTTTTATTTCCATAAAAGCTAAAGTACACTTTCACAAGGGCAGGTAAAATAAAAGAAAAAAATATTCATACTTTTGATTAAACTAACTTTTTTGCAGAATAGAGAGAAAAAAAAATGCATGCCAAAAACAGCAAAGGACCATAACCATAAAGCTGAAAAGTTGTCCTTAATCCGTGAGCAGACTGAATATTGCAGCCACAAAAATACTCCAACGCTTAATCCGTGTGCAATCCTGAACTGGGGTTGAGAGAATGTTCTTTTGCAATCAAACTGTTGCTCTTATAGGAACTCATGTGGAGCTACAAGTTAACCATGTTAGTCTGTTAGTCACTAATTAAGTTCACCTGTGTTTCATTTAGCTCCCTTTGTTTGCCTGTGTATAACACTCAGTTTGTTCAGTTCTTTGTTTTGCTTTGCACCATGTGTTCTCCAGTGTAGATTATCTCCATTGTTTTGGTTATTAAAAGAAGTACTGTTATGTCTGTAAATACGACTCGTACTTGAGCTTACTTGACTTCTTTATTGTTCTTGTTCACATCACCGAACAGTGTGTCAAAAAACATTCAAACCTTTACGTCACTTCCGTTCCCCAACCCTTAAAGAAACAAGCATTCGTTCTATCTTATAAATGTAACAAACATATTACTTTAACTAAACATCAGATTATCATACTAACTAAGCATGCAACATCCCCCCCCTCCCCCCCTCCCCCCCTCCCAGTGCACTAAGTGTGAAAAGATGTATGTTAAGTAATCCTGAAAACGGGCAGGCCGAATATGCAGTCTGGTAGGTCTGCCTGGCAGTGCTGCGGATGGTGGAGGGATTGACGCTTGTGGGGCCGCCGTATGCTGTGCTGGGGGCCGGGGGCACGAAGAACTCAGTAGAGAGCAGGGGAGCGTGGCGTCCTGAGTGTGATCCACACCAGAAGGGCATTGTACTTTCCTAAGCCGACTGGCATGCCAACGGGAACCATCAGATAACTGGAATGTACCTGGACCTAACTGCTTCTGTACCTGCTGTGGCTGTGACCAGAAAGTGTGGAGCTTGTTTTTCCTGTGTGGCCGCTGAACCCGCACCCAGTCCAGTGGGGAGATTCTGGGAATTCTGGCCTTTTTTTTTCATTGTATCTGCCCTGTGCTTTGAGCTGTTGTCTGCACACCCTGGCTTTCACCACATGGTTTCCCCGGCATGAAGTAGGAGGCCGAAGTCTGTGTAGGGGTAACTCCAGCTCTCGTCCCAGCATCAGTTTTGCTGGTGATGCCCCAGTGGTGGCATGCTGAGCTGCTCTGTAGTGTAGAAGAGTCTGAGACAAAGCCTCTTTGAAAGAGCATCCTTGAGCTAAGTGGGCTCTCAGACCATTTTTCAGGGACTGATTAAATCTCTCTACGCCCCCATTTGACTGCGGATGATAATAAGCTGTTCGTATGTGTTTGATCCCTTTGCTTTGGATGTAATCGGTAAACTCAGCAGACACTAGTTGAGGGCCATTGTCAGTCGTCAAGGACCTTGGCAGGCCCCAGCGGGAAAAGAGCGACTCCAGAAAGTCAATGATGGAACTGGATGTAACAGAGCCCACAGGTGCAACCTCTGGCCACTTTGAGTGTAGGTCATAAGCTACAACGAGGAACCGGGAATGATGGGGCACATCATGAAGTTCACCATAGATATCTAGTTGAATGTGGTCCCAAGTGTAAGGACTGGGCTAAAAGGGTGAATCTGAATAACTAAATACATCCTGCTAAAGACCCAAAAAGACTGAATGCAACACACACACACACACTCTCTCTCTCAGGAATGGCCAGAGTCATAAAATGCTTTTAACATTCCATGCCATCCCCCATCTCTACAAGAGAGATAACAGAACTCTGACACACACACACACGAACCAACACACACACATAATGAACCTTTACATTACACGCATAAAACGAGCCATTACCAATTGTATATGATATATTCCTGTATGTCTGTGTGTTTCCCAGTCCATGGTAGTTTAGAAATGATCTCCTAGCGTATCAGTGAAACTCTGGAGAGTTTAAAAGTTATGTATTAAATGTATCTTCATATTCCAATTATGTGTAAATGTTGTGTTTGGTACCGTTTTAATTATCTCGTTCCAACTGATTTGGTCAGATACAGAAGATTACAGTAAAATGTATGTTTTCTATGTTTTTATCATCTTGTGGAATGATTCTGACAAATTCTGACTGGTCATAAAAGAGGCGGACACGGCCATAGTTTAACTTTGACAAGACAAAGAGAATTTGGCCGCCAAAAGTTTCGTTGAATGTCATTGGCCAGTTCGCACCTCAGAGGTGTGGACTACAGTTCCTCTAAAGAGGACTGAACCTCCCCCTGTTCTCCCTCTCTTCCTCCCGTGTCCTCGCGTCATGATGTAACGTCTCGCCTCCGGGCGAGCTCTTCGCCTTTCTTTTATTTGTTTCTAGTTTAGTTTGTGTTTTTCAGTTGTAGATAAGTCTCTGTGTTTAATTCCAATCGACGATTGAAAAGAAAACCCCGTGACATATCTCTTCAGCAAATCCATCTACAAGGGACCTTTAAACGAGCGCGCGCTCGCTTTGAAGGAGAAACACGCGCACGTGACCGCGTGACGCGCCGGACCGAGCGAAGCACGCGCTTCTTCGCCAGCCATGCACAGATGGAACATTAACTCCTCGTGATTCCTCCGTTCTACGAAGTGAAACGAACTCAGCCGAACTATTTCCCTTTGGTAATGTTACCCCAAAGACTGTGAACCTCCGTTCAACACGCGCGCCAAGCAGCCCACGTGATGCTTCCTCACACACATAGGAATCCTCTCACGCACGCGGCCAGACAAGGCCGCGCAGGATTGCCGCGATACAGAGAGACCAAGAAACTTGCGCAAGTATATCTCTTTATAGAGCTTCTAAGAAGTTTTAAGATGATGTTTCGTGTTGTTATCAGAGAGGTGAATGTCTTCCTGCCAATGAAATTCTCCCAATTTCTCTGTTCTCTCTCTCCCCATCCCCTTTCCTCTCTCTCTTACTCGCTCACGCGTGTACGTTATCCATTGTCCAAACTTTATGCATTTCTCGTTCATTGATGTCTTATTGTATTGTTCATTGTTGTCTATGTGTTTGTAAATACATATATCCCATGTAACCGTAGTAAATACATAAGTAGTCATGCCTTTATTAAATCCATTATATTCATTTTGATTGATGTTACTGTGTCTGCTCATACTCCAGGTCTCTGAAATGAATAGATCAAGCTACGGCTTTATAAATTAAAAATACTTTAAAGAGTATGTGTTTATAGGGCAGAAAACCCAGTTCTTCTGGCCAGAGAATTGCGTTTCCTGAAATCCTATGAAGTAAGATGATATGTGGGATTCCCCCAATATTAATCTGACAATTGAGCTAATTAAATTTTACCTGTCTGTAAAACGTGATCTATGCAATCAACTTGTAGTTAAAATGCAAGGATACACGTATGCATGCAGGTAAAATGATAGATCCTCCCTTAGAGGGAGAGTAAATTCAATGTAAGATTGATCTAATCCAAACATGTATGAATAATTATTAATTACCAATTATTAATTAATTTATGCAAATTCCCCACGGATTAGATCCGCCCTGAATCCTTACACAAGGTTGAGTTGGCCATGGCAAAGACCCCAGTGGCGGTGGGGGTGGTGGGCCCATTTTCCCGCTTACAAGACATGGAGTACAGTCCCGAACAAGCTGTTCAATGTCTTTGTTCAACCCTGGCCACCATACCAGCTTTCTACAACGCTGCTTCAGTTTGACTATGGCCCTCATGCGCCATGGCCAGCACCCGGCCTCTGAGCTTATCAGGGATAATGACACAGTGTCCACGGGCCAAGCATGTATCGTTCCAGCATGACAATTCATGTTTCACTCTGGCATACGGCTGGATATCCGTTGTGACTTGGGCTGGCCAGCCATTCAAGACATACTCACGGACAGTGGAGAGGGTGGAATCAGCTGCCGACTCCTCTGTGAGTTCCTCCAAAGACACGAAAGCCACGAGGGGTGCGTGCACCATTTGAATAAGATCCCTTTCTTCAGTCGCATGACAGGAGGCAATGGGGAATGACACAGAAC